GAACTTGATAAAGCTTGAAACTTTAAGCCCAAAGAGGCCACAAAACGTCCAGATCTGAAGTAATAACTTCATGAAATGCCCAAACCCAAGAATGATCCCAAAATGAGCCAAAAATGACAATAAACATCAAAGGAAGAGATCTAAGCAATAGATGAGCAAGTTTTCGACTTTTTACCTCAAAAGAGTAGCTAATCTCAAGAAGATTCTGGATCTAAAGCTTCCCCCTTCAAGCTATGCACCACCAACTTCAAGCTCTTCAAAAGAACACCAAGAAAACACTCTTCAAGCTCACACACACTCAAATATGGGAGAGAAAGCACGAGACTAGGGTTTGTGGACAGGGGAGACGGAGGCCACCCAAAGGGTATAAGGCCTTTAAATATGGTGCAACACCCTAAAAATTAGGGTTTCTTAATCAGCCACCAACTCGTCGAGTTTTCCTCTCCAACTCGTCGAGTTGGTCCAAAAAGATCCGCGACCCAAAGACTTTCAACACGTCGAGTTGAGGCCATTAACTCGACGAGTTCCAAGGAAAATTTCCTTTTTTTAATAAAAATTCTCATACCTGGGAATTGGGATGTTACACAAGATTTATCTATTCCATTCCACAATGCAAAGCAAACAAGTTTTTCTCATTCCATTCCATCATTTCCTAATTCCATCATACCAAAGACTACCCTAGTGGCCCAGTGTTTTCAAATTTCAAGCTAAATATTCTACTTTGCATATACATGTGATTTGACTTATAATAATACAAATTACTAGTTGTGATTAGATTTAGGGCACAATCTCAATTACCACGAACAAATTTTGAAGATATGCTTCAAATTAAGAACAACTATACGTGATCAGCAAAGAGACCGTTCACTGTTAGTTTGTTACACTCTCAAACTTCATAGCAGCATATGCGGTTATGACACCAAAGACTAAATCTACATTGGCAACTTTAGCTAATTCACTAACAATTGGTTCCAATAATCGATTGGAATTTTGGATCGATAGAGTAAGATCGACGATGGAGTTTCATTCGATCATCATTTAGATTTCATTGATCTCAAATTCAACAACGATGGAGTCAGTGAGTGTATCGTCGGTGGAAGATTCAGATAGATCTTCTAAATCAATTCAATATTTATATTGAAATCAAAACCTGAAAAAGATCAAATGCAATAAAAGAAGAAAATCGAACCTGAAGACTAGATTGATGTTGAGGATACTAGATCAATTACATGGTGGCGATATCAGTGTGTCGTTGGAGGGAGAAACCAATGGAGAGTGATGAGAACACGATTTATCTTTATACGATTTCTTCCCCTGTGGTGTACACACTAGCAATCGATTCCATATTTAGATCGATGAAGATCGTTTTACTTTTTGTTTTCTTCTGATACAATGGATTGGTAAATTGGATTTTGATTCCAGATCTACGGTGGAAGCATTAAGTTGTGATAATCATGGATGAAATCAGTGATTGAGAGATAGAGAGAGAGCAGAGGGAGGCGGTTGACGGAGAGGTACTCAACCAACAAAGGAAAGAATGGGAAGTCGTCGCGGTGGTCTTTGAAAGAGGTAAGGTTGATTGTTGGAAGGCAGAAGGAGGCGGTTGACGGAGAGGGAAGGATGTCAATGAAGAACATGAGAGATTGAGAGAAAGAAATGGGAAAGAAAGAGTATAAGGTTAGGTTTGATGTGAATCGTGAATTCAGTTAGATGGGATGTAAATCATGTAATACCTAAATTGTCCCTCAATTTATTTTAAAAAGGTACCCTCGTATTTTAGTTATTTTAAGTAATTACAATTATGCCACAAAACATCTTGACCTTCTATTATTTTGATTTAATAACCCTTGTCTAGTTCTCAGGTTCTCGGAAAAGTATAGGTTCTCAAATGATCCTTCATTTCTCTCTCTTTCTCTCTCTCTCTCTCTCTCTCTCTTATATATATATATATATATATATATATATATATATATATATATATATATATATATATATATATATATATATATATATATATATATATATATATATATATATTAGCATGTGATAATAGTCATAGTTGTAGAAGGGATCATGTTATATGCGGTAATGAGCTTACCATGTAACTTTAGTCATAATTGTATAATTGTATAATAATAATAATAATAATAATAATAATAATAATAATAATAGTTTTTTGATAAAATATTAATTTTATAAAAATGATAATTTTTTTTACGAGATTGTATATTCATTAGAAAGGAAAAGCAGTACATAACAGAAATGGTCCTTAGGGTATATTATATTTTTCATATTTGATCCAAGGGTAAATCGGTCTTTTTAAGAATTTAACAAATAAATAGTTAGATATAACAACGGAAGGACCATCCACGTAGCGTTTAGAAATTACAGTCAGTGTAATGCCGACAAAAGATATCCTGAACTTGATATTGTTTGGAAACCATAGGACCATTTTTAAAATTTTGTCAACAAAATATGTACACATAAAATACACCTGAATAGATAACATCAGGGCCAAATTAATCTCGCCGGAGCAAGAGCATAACACCTCACCAACTCCCCTGGTATCCCGCCGAGCATATCCCTATGATTCACCACTATCAGCGTCATCAATGCCGCTACTCCTGACCCAAGTGAATGACCCACAAATATCATCTTGTAGCATGACCCATTCTCAATCCACAATCGTTTCAGACTCTTGATTCAACAACCAAATCGCCAATTGTAACAACCCATGATGCCCATATACACCATCGAACATCTGCGTCCCTAATTGATTGTTCAAATGTCAGATCAAGGATCGTACTCATTCTCATATTGTTAGACCTAGATTTCACGATATGATTGAGAACATAGTTTGGTTGTTGACTAGTCCTTCTCCATTTTGACAGGATTTTTCTATTTCTGAAGACAGAAAGCAAGGTTGCAAATTCAAGTTTGTAATGGCATCTTTGGATATATGATTCAAAACAGGCGCAATACTGAGAGAGGTAGAGGGCGAGGTAGGGCCCGCCGTGGGCGTGGACAAGGAAGACCCACAGCCACTGGGCCACCTCGCAATGGCCCCCTCAGGGTGAATTCTACTCGGCCATCAGCTCACACCATTGCCAAGGCAAGCTCCGCAATTATGGATATCTTATCCTTATATATGCATTTGATTCAGACTCTGATTTCAAACACAAACTTGCAATTGAGGAACTACTCATTACAACTCTCTTTTTCAAATTTCAAAGTGTAAGGCGTACTATATGACACACTGTATAATATTCATGGAGAAGTTCATTTTGGCATCACCATTCACCACCAAAGAATTATCACCTAATGATGTTCATGGATTCTGATAATTATGAGTCGTTCTCTGGATACCCAGAAGTTTTATCCTTGCTTATGACGTAAAGGGGGCTTCACTGATCAATGATCATTATTCATTACTAATTAATTTTGTGATTAATGGTTGTCTGGAGTGGGAGTTGATGATGCATCCTAGTGCTATATTTGGAATCTCTCATGCTCATAATGAGATTTTCATGGCGTTGAAGATGCATCCTACTATCCTAAGTTCATGGTGTTTCTGCAAAGGAGATTCCTTCACTGAACTACAGGACTGGTGCTTTCTCCTGTACATTATCTCACATCTTTTAAGGAGTGGAGTGGGTTTAGTCTTCAACTCCCAACTATATAATCTTATTTTACTACAAGCGTTGTATGTGCTCCCAAATGAAATGAACAGGTAAAAAGCTTCATCTGTATCTCCTTTCCAAGTCTATTGGGAGCACCGAAATGAAAGACACCAGTAGTTTCTGATAGGAATCGATAACACAATAATGGAAAACAGAAATTGAATGCTTGATTACTATGAACTTCAAGTGGAAATAACAGAATAATAATTCAGAGAAGTTAATCAAATGATTGTCCTTCCTGACCTAAATCAGAGAGGATCTCAAAGAGATGACCTCCTGCCCAAGCTAATGCCGAAGACTCAAAATACAAATGCAAAAATATTCGATGCCTCACTACTCCTATCACTACTCTATTTATACTATTCATGAGATAATTCTAGATAGGATGCAAAATAGATAATAATAGATATTACGATTAAGTCCCCCATGTTTACCCATATATTTATATAAGACCCATAGCACATTCTCTATCAGTTTCTTTCATGGATACTCAATAGATCATGGAAGAAATTGCAAATTGATTGTTATTTGTGTAAACTAATCAGTTGGGGAAATATGAGAAACAAACAATAATACAGTTGTATTTCACTTTTTATTTAATTATATTCTTTTTTAAGTCTATGTAAGTATGAGACGTTTTAGACGCTTCAGGAGTTAAAAGGAATTAACATATGAAATAGATTGCAGGGGACAATAAGAACCATCAGTTTTTATTTAATTATCTTCTTATTTATATTCTTCAATTTACGGTTTTCCATCATTCACACCTTCAATGGACACACCACGTGCATTTGTTTTTTAGATTCTTTTAAAGGACCATTGTGTTATGTCCCTATCTCCATTGACCCCATTCACACAGTTTTCACATGGATCATCTATATAATAGTCTCACTTACAGAACTAATTATGCAGTAAAACACAGTTTGAATGAAACTTCTATTAGCATTAACCAGAAAACAAAAACAAATATGTCTAAATAATCAAGTTAAGTTTTATTATTACATTGTTAAATCCAACAATCCAACAATAACATATAATACCGCATGTTGTCTTTTTGTAATCCTAGTGCCTTGCTAAATTTTGGGTTACAACAAATTAATGTCATGACAGATATATACAATTCAAAGTGTAATACACGGCTTTGTAGAAAAATTTGACACCGAATTCAAATGTAAAAGACACTCCTTGTGGGAAAATATGACATTAGGCAAATTTTCTTTTCGAGCACGTGAATGAAAACAAGAGAAAAAGGTAGCTCAAGTATAAATTAGGACATGCAAACCATTCTTTTTTATTAAAAGCAACTTGGCAAAGCAAATAATGTATTCTTCAAACTTGTTATTTTTCTCTCTCGCTCTACTAATCATCACACTCTCCCCCATACAAAATTTCGCTTCTGCTTCTTTTGAGGAAGCCAATGCTCTTCTTAAATGGAAAGCAAGCCTTGAAATCCCAAAAAACTCCTTGCTATCTTCATGGATTCCCCTCCCTTTGAATTCCAGTGCATCGGTTCCATGCACTTCTTGGTTTGGAGTAGTTTGCAATGCTGATGGGAGCATTCAGAAGTTGAACCTCACATCATCCGGATTAAAGGGTATGCTTCATCGATTTTCATTCTCTTTGTTACACAATCTTACGCATTTTAATCTCAGTCTGAACAACTTCTATGGCCCCATCCCACCGGAAATCCAACTTTTGTCCAAACTTATATATCTTGATTTTTCTGAGAATAAATTTTCTGGAGTAATCCCACCTGAAATAGGAAACCTGCACCAGCTAACCATCTTGTACTTATACTCAAACAATATCTCTGGTCCCATTCCTATTGAACTTGGGAATTTGAAGTCTCTCACTGATCTTTGGATGGAAAACAATCAGCTTAGTGGTTCTATTCCTTCATCATTTGGTAATTTGACATCTTTGAATAGACTTTATTTGTACCATAATCAACTCGTTGGTCTCATTCCTATTGAACTTGGGAATCTGAAGTCTCTCACTCAGCTTTCGGTGTACAAAAATCAACTTAGCGGTTCTATTCCTTCCATCATTGGGTAATTTAACATCTTTAAATGTCCTTTATTTGTTCCAAAATCAACTCTCTAGCCCCATTCCTACTGAACTTGGCAATTTGAAGTCTCTCACTCATCTTTTGGTGTACGACAATCAACTTAATGGTTCTATTCCTTCATCACTGAGTAATTTGACATCTTTGAATGTCCTTTCTTTGTTCAAAAATCAACTCTCGGGTCCCATTCCTTTTGAACTTGGGAATTTGAAGTCTCTCAGTGGTCTTTCTGTGTACAACAATCAACTTAGTGGTTCTATTCCTTCATCATTAGGTAATTTGACATCTTTAAATGTCCTTTATTTGTTCCAAAATCAACTCACTGGTCCGATCCCTATTGAACTTGGGAATTTGAAATCTCTCACTGATCTTGAGCTGACCAACAATGAGCTTAGTGGTTCTATTCCTTCATCATTGGGTAATTTGATATCTTTGAATGTCCTTTCTTGGTGGAAAAATCAACTCTCTGGTCTCATTCCTATTGAACTTGGGAATTTGAAGTCTCTCACTGATCTTGAGGCGAGTAGCAATCAACTTAGTGGTTCTATTCCTTCATCATTGGGTAATTTGACATCTTTAAATGTCCTTTACTTGTTCCAAAATCAACTATCTGGTCCCATTCCTATTGAGCTTGGGAATTTGAAGTCTCTCACTGATCTTGGGGTGAGCGACAACAAACTTAATGGTTCTATTCCTTCATCACTAGCAAACCTCAGCAACATACAGTGGCTGAACCTTGGTGGTAATAAATTATTTGGTCCCATTCCTAGTGAACTTGGGAAGTTGAGGTCTCACTCATCTTTCAGTGAGAGGAAACCATCTTAGTGGTTTTATTCCTTCATCATTTGGTTATTTGACATCTTTAGTTTCCCTTTATATGTATCAAAATGAGCTCGCTGGTCCTATTCCTAGTGAACTTGGGAAGTTGAAGTCTCTCACTGATTTTAAGGTGAACAACAATCAAATTAGTGGCTCTATTCCTCCAGAGTTTGGAAATTTAACTCAACTACAAAGACTTAATCTGTCTTCGAATCATTTGGTTGGTCAGATCCCAAAGGAGTTTGGGAAGATGAAAAGTATGTTGGAGTTGTCCTTGGCCGGCAACAAACTATCTGGTGTTATACCTCTTGAGCTTGGATTTTGTGAACTCCTTGAAGTACTTGATCTATCCAAAAATAGATTGAATGGGCCGATTCCAAAAATTATTGATCAGTGGGCACAAATCCACTACTTGAATCTTAGTAATAACAAGATCAATGATAAAATTCCATCCGAGATTGGTAAATTAGCTCATCTTACAGAACTTGATTTATCTCATAATGTTCTCACGAAAGCGATACCATCTGAAGTTCAAAGTTTGCAAAGTTTGCAAAAATTGGATCTTTCTCACAATAGACTATCTGGTTCTATTCCTGGAGCTTTTTCAAGTTTGCCTAATGGGATTGATATCAACCTTTCTTTCAATAAGCTCTCAGGTCCAATCCCCTCTTGCGCTAACTTTGTGAATGCGTCCTTAGAAAGAAATCTAGATTTGTGTGGGAATATTACGGGATTGAAACTTTGTCCAAGTCAGATTATGAAGAAGAAAAATGATCCCTTTCATCACAAGCTCATCCTTGTAATTACGCTTCCCCTTATCGGGGCTTTTTTACTTGGTGTATTCACATATGGCCTCATTGCTTATCAACAACAAAAGAAAAAGTCTCCACAAAAACCATCGGACGAAGAAAGTGGTGATTATTTCTCTATTACAAGTTTTGATGGAAAAGTAGTGTATGTTGATATCTTGAAGGCAACAAATGATTTCGATGAAGCATACTGCATTGGGACCGGAGGATATGGGACTGTGTACAAAGCCGAGCTACAACCTGACAATGTGGTAGCTGTCAAGAAACTTCAATCATCATTTGAGAATGTTGATCACAATGGATTCCTTAATGAGGTACGAGCATTAACGAACATAAGGCATCGAAACATAGTGAAACTCTATGGATATTGTTCCCACGTTTGCCACTCATTTCTGATTTATGAATACCTTGAAAATGGAAACCTTGGATCAATCTTAAGAAGCGATGTCTTAGCAAAAGAATTAGATTGGTTGAAAAGGGTAAATATTGTAAAGGGTGTAGCTAATGGTTTGGCTTATATGCATCACGACTGCTCACCTCCTATAATTCATAGAGACATATCCATAGCCAACATCCTTCTTGACTCTGATTATGAAGCACATATTTCAGATTTTGGCACATCCAAGCTTTTAAAGCTCGATTCATCCAACTGGACCGCAATTGCAGGCACCTATGGTTATATTGCGCCAGGTAACAAAATCTTGTGATTGTAGTTCTACATCTTCTTAAGTTTCATGATATATATAAATATGTAAATGCACATATATGTATCTATGTTAGAATCTTGTGGGTTGATATAGCTTTCTTTGTTTTTATCTCATGTTCCTTTGGATGTAGAGCTTGCTTATAGGATGGTGGCAAATGAGAAATGTGATGTGTATAGTTTTGGAGTTGTTGCACTTGAAGTTATAATGAGAAAGCATCTGGGAGATCTGGTAACATCTTTACCAACACTGTCTTCTGATTATCCGGTGCCAGTAAATGTGGAAGATAGTCGGCTACCTCCTCCCTCTTCCCAAGTTGAGAAACAAGTTAAGTTGGTTCTGAGTCTCTCGAGAACATGTTTGAACTCCAATCCACATGAAAGACCAACAATGCAGCAAGTTTCAAATCTATTAATGAAGGATCTGCTTTGAATTGACATGTGATCAATATAGTGTTCTTTCAGTGTACTTTACGTTTTTTAAGTTCCCTATATGCACCCTGCCAATATGTCTTCATTTGAATGGCTTTTTGTTAAGAAACTTCACATATGTTTCTGGTAGTAAAGAAATAAGTCAATGAAGATTGCTATACTTCTAAAAACACACCACTGGAAACCAAACATAAAATTATGTAAAATTTTGTTTGTATGTTTTTTATATTGGTTTTAACTTTTATTAATTTAGTAATTTACATGTTTTAAAATTAATAATTATTATAACGATGTAATACTTTTTAAAAAAAATATGTGTCCGTATTGCCATATGATTTTATCCTCGCACAACATGTAGAAACGGGACCTGTAGGGATGACAATTTATCATTTCTATAGGTTCAAAAGTCTATAGGTGTATAGGTGTCTGGGACGACATGTCGTCCTTATAACTCTCGTCGCCATAGCCCTGTCGCAATAGATTGCTTTTGTCATCGCTATGGATATCGTCGTAATAGGTTACATTTAGAGACGACATGTCGTCTTTGATAGTGCGTCGCTATAAGTTTCTGGTCTCCGTAGATAATGCCAGAGGCGGAGCCTTTAAGGGGCCAGGGGGCCACCCCCTGCTTTTTTTTCTTCCTTATGCCTGTATCATATATGTAGGAATGCTTTTAATTTTTTTACTAACCTTTTGGCCCCTCCAAGTTTATTCTAGATGGAGTATATATGTAGAAAACTATTGACTAATTAATTCGAAAAACCAAAAAGTTAATCTTATTTCATTTGACTGATAAATTAGGCAACTAACCAACAAATAATCAGAAAATATATGAAAAGATCAAAACCGATTTTATAAATGAACCAAAAATCTATTTTAATGTATAACTTCTTTCACTCAAAGATTGAGAAAACACAAAACCTTAAACAGAATAGTCACCCTGTTGCCGGCAAAAAAATGCTCATCGAAAAAAAAAACAGTCGCCGGAAAAAGAGTGTTTGACGGAAAAGAATTTGTCACCATTAAAAATAACCGGTCACCTCACCACTCTATCTCTCGGATCTGCCATTCGTTGAACTGCTACTCTTCCAGTGACCTTCGTGGTCCGTGCTTCTTCTCCGAAAGACTTGTACCAAGCTCTAAGGAGGTTGTCTCAGTCTCTCCTCTCCGGCCTCAAACATTTGGTAAGCCCCTCTCTCATTTTGTCTTGTTTTCTCTCTTTCTCTCACTAGGATTTGAAATAAGGTGACATGATAATGACCAGAGCTGCTAAGAGGTTAACCTATTCAAGCTATTAAAAGCCTGTTGTTTAAATTATTTTTGCCAATTTATCAATTATTATTCTTATTTAAACATTTTTGCCAATTTATCTAATTTTATTTGTATTTAAACAATAGAAACGTAATTGGGTATCTAGAATGAGATTTGTTAAAATTGCCTATGTTAATTGTTAATTTTTTAAATTTATTAGCTGTTAGTTAATTTATTCAATAAATATAATTACAACTTTTGTGTAGTGGGTATATATAGTTGTTTATACTACTAATTGTGGAGAGTAAATAATATAATTTGTCCATGGTGCATGTGTCAAATAAATTGCGTGTTTTATGTTTATTTTCAAAAATTAACTCGGAACGTCTTTCGTTTGTTTTAACTTGGATCGTCCCTATAATTGAAATAATTGATCATTTATTACGGTTTTAAATAAAATTAAATTAGTTCATATGTATCTTTAAAAGTCTTAATTTCGCCCCCTAGTTTTAGTACCCGTGTTCCGCCCCTGGATAATACTATAGAGACGACATGTCGTCTCTGTAGATAATGCTATACATTCAACGCACCTTGTCCTATAGCGACAACTCGTCGTCGTAGAAGATGCACCTGTTGTTGTCTCTATAGATGCACCTATAGAAACAACATGGCGTCTCTATACGTATGCCCATAGGATAACAACTTGCTATTTTTTCTCTATAATTTCCTAGTTTCACAATCACAATATAACTAAAGCAGTAAATTTACAAAATAGCTAAAATAGTAAATTTAACTACAAAAACATTAAGAGCTGAAACCATAGACTTTTGAAAATTTTCCAGGTTTTCTCACACCCTTTTTCCCATATGCAATTGAACAAACACCATCATAACATAAAACCAAACTTTTGAAGCACAACATAAAAACAACAATAACAATAAACTGATGTTTTATAAATTAGGGAATGTAACAAGAAACAAGAGAAAAACCCTAGAATCCACCAATAATTAGAAACTTACAAAATGAAACATAAAAATACTGACATCTCATAGGCACACAATCTTGTCATATGATGCTTGTTTACACCTATAAAACCACACAAATTGATAAAATTTTTGATGGTATTATAAACAAACAAGTACATAAATATGTTATTTCTTGCATTTACCAATCATCCAACTAAATGAGTAACATGACAAAGGGAATCATCTAAAAGTAAACGTCATGTTAGAAGCAGCCAAATACAAGTACTTATCACCATAAGATTTTTAAAAGATCAGAAGCAACAATGATAGAAGTCTTGCACAAAGCACTTCTTGAATTCTTTATTGCCTTCACTAAAACCAACACAGTGAAACGACAAATACAATTACTTTGGAAACTAGATTAGAACTTAACACTCACAAATGGAATGACATACGTTCTTAGTTTCCACATAAAGTTCTTGCAATCTAGAAAGAAATTAACATATTAAACCATATCCATATCACAAAAGTTTCATACCTAAACTGAATAGATGAAAAATATGATTGGAGGAATTATACACACATTAAAGTATAAAATTACACTGACTGATCTTAAAAATGATTAGCTCATATTTCCCCTGTTTCAACAAAAACCTAAATCAAAAGCTTGAAAAAACCCACAAAATTCAAGAAATCCAACCGGTTAAAGAGGAAGAGGAGATAGGGCCGATAATCATTTTCTTCGTACCTATATTTGGGTGGATAAGGAGAGTGGGCAGAAATGTGTACTTGTACTTGGGAAATGATAATAACAAGAAATGTTATAAATGCGTCTTACACTTAAAA